TATATGGCCCGTATCCTAGCACACTCTACGCTGGAGACAGGGCCGGGCGCTGTACCAGGGAGTTGGCCACCAGGTGCTCGACCAGCAGGTCAGCGTGCATCTGCTTTCGCAAGTGCAGTGCAGACACTCCTGACGCGACTCACTAATTTTGCATAGCTCCCATGGCATAACTTGACTCTGAGCATATTACTTGGATTTTGCGGAACATGGGGTTGTTGTTTGCTTGCGGGATAACAGCTTTGAGAGGCTCACTCGGTCAAAGTCTACAACCGCACTGGAGTGGTCGATGGCGCCTGAGTATTGCGCAGCGAAAAGAAGCATTGGCTTGCTGTGGTGTATACCTGCCTCAAGAAATCCACTTTCTTCTCTCTCCGTTGCAGAATATACAGCGCCTTGAGCAAACTGCCCCCCGTCCTCTATTTGTCTCGTACAAATAGACTTACTTGTTTTGGAAGCAGGCGGGACTCGAGGGCGGGATGGCGGGTTAGGAACAGATCTATTTCTGATTCATGTCTCACGGCTAATCTACGCCATCAACGGGAAAGCCACAGCCACCGTGTGCTGGCTCGAAACCATCCCATCCCATCCCATCCATGTAGAATTGAGCACGCCTCCTGGTGCGGACTCTTGGCAGGCCCTTGTGGTGCCTCCCTGTGAGTCATCCACAATAGGGGAGTTCAGAGTTCGATTCTGACTGATTCTGGGTCGATTCTGCAGTTGATGCCGATTCACGGAATCGTGTGGTTTCGGGATCCCGGTCGGTCGATTCTGACCTGAAACGCGTGAATCGAGGTCTAAGTGCCAAACCGAGGCTGGAATCACAAGGCGCGCGTGTAGTGTTCAGAGTGAGCGGCGGTTTGACGTGTGATTTAAGTTCCAGAATCGCGCTCGCAAGTTGGCAGAATCGCGTCTGGAATCGCCTCAGAATCGAGCACTCTGAACATCTCTACTATGATGGTACCCTGGTTCATAAAATTTGGGAAAATCTGCATCCTGTAGCTTACCACATTCACGTTTCGCGGGCGGTTTTGCATGAGTCGATGTGCACACACCTTAGCTATATATTCGCATTTTATAATATTTTATTGAAGTCTTGCAATCGCAGCGGATCCTTTCCAGTGCACAAAGTAGGTCCTGCACAACTTTTTATAAATTTTGTCACACAAGTGTCACACCAGATGCCGTCGAGCCGTGCCTCTGCCGAGAAGCGGAGCCGTCTCTTCAAAGTCAACCTCAAGTGTCTGAGATCAGGCGGAGCAACAATTTCATCACGCCTTGCTCGTTCATTGTAACGCTCCACTAATGTTCCTTCCCTGTACATGTACATAGCACCTTTTAAACCAAATACGTTGACCAGTCATGTCTGGTGTAAGTACAAAAGTCTGAATGCAGTCGCCAGAATATTTGGTGGGTGAGATCTGGTTGGATCTAGCCATCAGTAGCATTTTTCGGCCAGTTTTGAACCGCTTCCGAGCATCCACAAAAACATCATATCGTTCCTTGCTGTATATCTGCCATAATATGGGTGTCATATTATAGTATGAATACAAGTCTATTATAATAAAAATATTCATAACACCTCCAGGGGCATATTGCAGCAGCAAGATTGATTTTATAAAGCAAGGAGCCTTTATAAACCAGGGGGCCAATGGTGGTTTCAGACACACCGCTGTGGAAGTCTCGGCAGGTCTTGATCCTATAAGCCCTTACGCGTACGCCCGGCTCAAGAGGACACCACTGTCTCACGCCAAAGTGCCGCACTCCCCGGCAAGGCAAGGCGCGCGTCTATTAAACTCCTATCCACTGCCACCTCGGACCCAAGATACCGATTCCAGGGGAAATCGCAAAGGTGATCACCTCTTATAACTTTGTTAATGGCAATTAGGACAGTACCCACCACTAAACCTGACTGAGCTGGCTGAGGGTCATCGATGTCGCGATAGCCTATGTTATTAACTCCCCCCTCGCAGGATAAGCTAAAGCTTATATTTCTTGCTGCGCTTTGTCCCTAGGGGCAACGCGCTCCCCTAATTTTCCTTTGGAGCTCTACGTTATAATCTTCGACCAATTCCAACCTTCTTTCATGAACATGTCCTTGCGTGAACACGTCCTTGCGCGAACACGAGCACGCGATGGCACTCCTGTCTCTCGTGTGCAGAACGCTCAGAGATGAAGGCCAGAAACGGCTCTTCTGGTTCATTGCATACAAATACTGCTATGACGGGAATACCAAATTGGAAGGGGAAGAACCAGAGTACAGCCTTCCTGCCTCACGCCAGCTCTGGCACGACCTGCTGCAAAGCGGCAATACACGAGCTCAGCGGACATGTTCGTGAGTGCACGTTCAGCTTCGCTCATGGGATATTCGGAAACCGTTTCTCCACCTCTACTTTGGTCCCCGCGACGCTACATTTTCGTCGCATGGAAAGGGTTACAATACAGCACATCATAGTCAACGCTGACATGATCAACACGCTCGTCAGCATGCCTTTTCTTCGTACTGTCATGATAGTAGAAGGCGCACTCATCGGACTCAGAGACCTGCAGTCCCACGAAACTTTGGCACTCTCCACGAACAAATGGACAAGTCTCATGTTCAGGCCAACTCTCTTCGGTCCGAGGATCGCGTGGCAGGACTTCCTGCAAAACATTGTGAATCTGGACAGTCTCGAATATATGTCGTACGATGCCTGGCGAATCAATCTTACAATCCTCCAATCCGAGTCTGTGGTGTTGCGTCTCAAGGAGTTGTCTGTTCGCCTATGGGACAACTTACCGACCAAGCTGGTTCCTATTTTGGAGCGTGCCCCTGGGCTCCTGTGAGTTTACTCGGACAAGTTGATCGTTGGTGAAGTGCTGACATCATCATCTGCTCACCGCTCCTCAGAGTGCCTTCAGGGCACTTCAACCGTTTCCCTCGGTCACTTCGTGGGTGTATCACATCAGCAGCAGGCACAGAAAAGATCGGATGGTCCTAGTCAACCTGCGCCTTCAACGGTCGCAAATAATTAACAAGCTGGAACCGACATTCCCGAACGCAGAGCGATTTAGATTTGGCGAGGCCATCGAATGGCGACGAGATAGTTCAGGGTCGAGAGAGTGGAGACCATGCGCGCACTTCCGGACCCTGCTCTTGGAGTTGCTGGTCGAGGAATACGACGAGATGCAGGGCGTGGCTGGGTTCCTAGCGGTCTTCCGAGCCGCCAATAATTACTGTAAGGACATGGAAATGTTATGACATTTGCCTCTGTACGGTGTCGAGTACTATGGACGGCTTATATGTTTGCGTACATATTCCAGACGATAAACTCGAGTATTGCGCTATCTGTGGAACGACTGCAGTGCTGTGTCCGCGTAAATAGATGCTGTTTGAATCTTGTAACATGATGTCATGTATTGCTGCAGCTACTACGACGTCCCATCTCGCGTCGGAGAGTTATTGTTGGCATTTCTGGAACTCAGACGCGTCGGCAGGCTAGACGCGTGGCTCGTTCTCCGCGCTCATCAGTACGGTAGGCATCTAGTATCATCCAGACACCTTGACAGCCTCTCGCGGTTGCACCATGGACCAAGACAATCTTCAATGATCTGGAAACCCTGCTCATGACCACGATCAATTCCTTCCTAGGCGACGTTATGCTTTCTCTGTCGATTCCTGGGCCCTCGAGGGACCCAACATAATACATCCCGGACTGGAACAGTGTGCTGCTGGTGGAAAACACGCTGTCCAGGGTGAACGTCGTCATGAGGTACTGCTGCAGCATCTGTTCAGATTCGCAGGCCTTGCAGTGAATGTGGAGAGTCAGGTGAGATTCGGGAGGACTGAGACAGAGGCGAGTTCTCGAGCACGAACCGATGGATGGTTATGTGCACGATGGATTAGTCGATTGCCCTTCGCACAGACGACGATGGGGAAGGATTCCCGCACAAGTCTCGGACGATGTCGCTTGTTGTTCTCCTCCGTGCTCTCCAGGGTATAAATTGTCGCTGACTCAGCATTTTCGCATCACATCAAAGCGCCAGACCACCGCACGATGACGGCAACTTACCGTGACCGGTTCTCCTAAACTGCGGAAAATCCGAGACAAGAGGGATATGCTGGGAGTAACAGCGACTCAGGAATGGCTGCTAATGCGACTCTCACGCGAGGTGTGCCCTATTGATCAATTATTTCGGAATTTCTTCACCATGACAAAAACCTACATGTTGACATGTCCAATCCGCACGAGATTGTGGAGATCCAAGAATAACAGATACCTGCGGAAAACGCGTGAGACACGTTGCCTGATGTGTTGCGGCTGGGCGTCGCCGGTCCAGTCAATCAAAATTCGTCCAGAGCCAGTACATATTCTTCGCTCTGTTGCACTATCTATTAGCACTGTGCTCTCTGCTTCAGGGGTCGTGCATGGCTGCTGGCGCTGAATATGGAACGATGCAACTTCAGATTCTAACAGGAACAAATAAACTGCGCCTCGAGTCACGGCGCCACCCATCCCGCCGCTTTCTCAGTCAGTGTGCGCTCACGAGTTGCCATGACCAGTTGGCGGAACGGCGGATCGCGTTATCCAGGTATGCACTCAAGCACCGGACTGCGGAACTGCTCTCTTTAAGCATCTCGCAGTCGCAATACTTGACTCAGCCCCAGTAGTACAATAAGCAGTGTCAGACGTCCAGCTCCGTAGTGTCTTCCTTCGGGCGTCCTACACTTCCAGGTGAGCAAAACCTGTGAGAGATGTGATATGACTAATCAGCGACATCTTTCTATCAGATCAACACTCCTTTACCTCCGCCGCCACCCTTGCCAGCAAAGATGGCGTCCACGCTACTTGTCCTTCTGCTATGCACACCAATACCATCGCTTACTACCCATGTACGGGGACCACCACCTGGCCCGCTTCACCGACGCTCGAATGTGCCGCCAGAAGGATACTTCGATCCGTTGAATAATGGCGGGAGCATGCTCACGGTACGACCTTCGGAATTGGTTTAGTAAGTACAGGAGCGAGCTGAAGAACGTGTAGCAAGTCCCAGGAACGTTTCCCGCTGGCTTGGGAGAGCCTATAAATGTTATCATATCTGAAGACTCTGACTCCGATGTCCTGAAGAATCAGGAGACAGATGGAGGCATGCTCAACTACTTCCTGTGCGTGTGCTACACAGCATATACTACACAGGGCTCTCACAGGAAATTGCAGCTCCTTTGGATATGCTACGGAATGTCTGGGGCAGCACTCGGGCGATGACCAGGCGGCGAACCTTGGGGACGGGAATGGGTACTGTGAGTAAAGCGATCGCGGGTGGAGGTGAGCATCGCATTGACGTCCGCAGTGAACGAGACTGCCGTTATACGGTGGGATTATGGAGACCCGCAATTGGGTTCGTGCAGGGAGACTATAGACGGTGGTGCCCACTTCCGAATATGGGTGCAGAATGGTAACGAAGCCGACAGGTGCGCTTCTCCATATTGACGTCGAAGAAACTTGTCTGATCTTTATAGCGGCGCTGTCTTCGTGGCCGCATCGTATGAAGAATCGCTAGCTGGTGTGTGCTGCGTTATTTTCTATCATAAGGATGGACTTTGATTAAGTGTAGACGAACATGACATCATCTACAATGGGTACGTCGTCACACCCATGTGGGCACAAGAGCTCGCGGAATTAACTTAGGAATGCTTCGTCATAGCTACAATCTTGGCCGGTGCGTGAAAGCACTGATAAGACGCTCTCGATATGCTCATTGTCCCCACAGAGATTGGATGATCGGGAATGCCACCAATCAATCGTCCATAATACCCACAAGCAATGTCACCAACCAGACCACCTACAACGGCCAGACATCTTTCGGCGGCTACACCTACGAAACTAACGTCAAGTATATCAGCGGCTTGCTGCAGAACACAAGCCAAGGTATTAACCACTATCTCACGGTGGGTGGAAACGGCGTGAACGCTGTAGACGGTTTGGTTGCCGTGATGCAGGTTAGCATTGTCGAAAGGCCGGCTACTTCGTAAGCTCCCTCTCAATTTCATCCTCGGCAGCCCTTCCTGACAAGTGAACCTTTGCAGCGGCGTGGGGCACATATCTGCGCCGTCAGTACAGGCTTGGCTCCTTTTTGCCCTGGTGGCACTTTCCTTTCCCCCCTCTCTCTTTTAGACGCTATAGAGTGAACATGGCTCTCGGACTATAACCTCATCTCATATGTTACACCATCTTCAGCGTACACCCAAGGAACACTCCCCTCGTTATACCCTGAATAAGGGATAGATATACATCTCCGGCCTAGTAGTTCTGCGCTCAGTAGCCCGCATGCTTTGCATGGATTGCACATCTGTACAATGACATTCATTACGACTATTTTATGACCGCGTCTGTACATGCATTATATCTTTACAGCCTTTCAAAATTTCTTTTCGGATTCAATGTAAGCAGCTCGATCACATAGATTCAGGCAGCATAGGAAGTACACAAAAAGAGTGCTACAGTATTAGAGGACATTGAACGAAAGGCGGGAGAACAAGATCACCAGGGACAACACCAGTGAGCGTCGAAACACAGGCACAGAGCCCCACCATTGACAGGGAACATATAAGCTAAGATGATGAAAGAAAGGGACGCGTGCACAACACAGAGGAGCATGTAGTTCATACAACACAACGGAGCTTACCGGTCGCCGCCGTTGGCAGTGCCCCGGAGCCGCGACACGCCACCATTGAGGGGTGTGGGCTCGTACGGCAACTCGGGGCTGCGCGGCGGCGCGTTGTACGCGTTCATGATCGTCGCGAACGGCGCGGGCACTGGCGTCTGCGTCTGCGGCGTCTGCGCCGCGGACGGCGGGTACGGCGAGCGCTCGTGGTAGCTGCTCCGGGGCGAGTAGGGCTCGCGCTGCAGCACGGGCGAGTGGGACGCGGTGCGCTGCGGCACGACGGGCGAGTGCGCGGACTGTGAGCGGGACGGCGGGAGCGGGGACGGAGCCGCGGGGCGTTCCTCCGCGGGACGAGGCTCGTCGCTCGTGAGCGACTGCACGCTCGTGCGCCGCGCACGGCCCGCCCGGTCACGTTCTTCGCGGTCGCGGTCGCGTGGCGGCTGGGCCTCTTGTTGCTGGTGGAAGGTGATCGACTTCATAGGCGTGCGATCCATGATGCTCGCCATTGGGTGAGGGCCACTCGGCTGCCCGTTGCCTTCGGGGGTGTCCACATGGATGATCTGTAGCTCCTTTCCGTCCTCTCCTTTGTGCGACGATCCAGGTTGGGGAGACGGCGTCGCCGCCATCGAGATGACGCTCATGGTGCTGCCGTTGGCGTTGACGACAGTGCTGCTCTCGGCCTCTTCGGCCTCATGGGTGCCGTCAGGCAGAGCTGGAATGACGGCGGCGTGACGGCCCCCTAACGGTCTGCGTCGACCGCAGAAGAATGAGCATCTGGGATGCGAGACCTAGAATCACCACTCACCCTCCCTCGACAAAGTTTTGCCAGACGTAATCCCTCAAGCGATCTGCACCGGGAAGTTCCTGGATCAAGTGCTTAATCGTGTTCTGGCCCAAGCCGAAAAAGTCAGGTCCGGAGACACTGTTGCTATGCTGGCGGTTGCGAATGTGGTTGGCGCTGCGGACAATGACCGACCAGGCACCCGTCGCTGTGCCAGCAATGATAGGCTCGGGCAGCTCTTCGCAGGAGATCTGGAACTTTGGTCCATCGCCGCCGTCGAGGATTTTGCAGCGGTAGACTGCGTCTCCGTTGGGGTCCACAGTCGAGAGGTAGCGTCTATGGGGAACACGTAAGTGATCCCGCAAAGTGCTACGATGGGCCAGAACTCACCGCGTAACCTCATATCCTACCGGGAAGATGTACCTCTCTGTGTGGAAGTGCTCCCGCATACAGATCTCTCCGAGACTGACAACAGTCATGATACCGACGTTCAGCGGAAGAATTGGCCTGCCCTTCTTGTCCCTGGGCACCATCGGAATGCTGTAGCTCCTGCTCGTCACCGTGTGTGCCTTCAGCCGCTTGGGTTTCGCACGCGAGCCCGGGGGCGGACCACCGTTTCCGGGTCCTCCGGGGTGCGGATAGTAGGGCATGCCGCCTCGAGAACCGCCAGGGCCCAGGACGATCTGCTGGGGGTAGTGGTAGCCGGGTGGTGGAGGCACGGGATGCGGTGTGTGCATCGGCGAAGGGCCTGCACCCATGCTCATCGGCGCCGGGGACCGACCGTCCTCGAACTGTGCATAGTACCTGCGACGTTCTTCTTCGTATGGATCGTGGGGATGGTACCGGTAGTCGCCGGTCGGGATGGGAACGCCGCCTGGAGGGGGCGGCCACCCACCCCAGGCAGCAGGCGGTGGCTGTCCACGGTAGTCGTCGCGCGGAGGTTCACGATGATCTGGATAGGCGCGATAACGGTCGTGCTCGGGAGGGGCTGAAGTAGACGGGGTGTGTGGGGTGTGTGGGGTGTGTGGGGTGTGTGCGTAGCGATCGTCGACGATGGAGGTGCTGGGTGAGTTCGTATCTTTCCGTACTGGGCCACCGCGTGCAGAAGCACTCTCTGTCGGCGAGACACGCGCAGCATCCAAGGGTTCCATGGGCGGAGGAGTCGGGGGACGACGTTCTTGTAACTGACGTTCGCGGTCAAGAACCATGAGACGCTCCCTCTCGCGCTCGCGTTCGCGTTCGATTTCTTTCTCACGCTCCCGCTCCCGCTGTTCTCGCTCATGTTGTTCTCGCTCACGCTGGTCTCGCTCATGCTGCTCCCGCTCACGTTGCTCGCGTTCGCGCTGCTCTCGCTCCCTCTCTCGCGTGCGCTCCAGCTCCTCCCTTTCTCGCTCCCGTCGCTCCGTTTCCTCCCTCTCGTGCTCCCTTCGTTCCAACTCGAGCTGACGTTGACGTTCAATTTCACGCTCGCGCTCGCGCTCCATCGCGAGCCGTTCACGTTCAATTTGAGCCTCCCTTTCTCGCTGTGACTCAAGTTCGCGCTGTTCCATCTCCCTCTGCAGCTCGAGTTCGTTGTGACGCTGGCGATGCTGCATCTCCTGCTCGTACTGGTCTGTCTCCATCACATGATCTTCGTCGTGGCGATGGTGGTGTTGTTTGTGCGCGTGTTCGTGATGGTGATGCGCATGACGATGGGCGTGTTGGGGCGACGGCGGCGGCGGCGACGGCTCGTGCTGGGGAGGCGCGGGGGGCTTGATGCGCAGGCGGGTGCTCCCGCCGTTGGTGGTCACGACGATGGAAGGCGCCGGAGAGGCTGCGCTACGACTGTCTCGCTGAGAGCCCGGCGGAGGCGCGAGAGTGACGGGAGGACCTGTACCTTCGCGCTCCCTTTCCGAGCCACCGCGCTGAACGTCCCTGGTATCCGCCGCCGCACCGCTGCCGCTGCGCGCACCGGCGCTGCTCGCCGAGACTGCGGCCTCGCGTTCCTTCTCCTTGGCGCCGCCGCGCCCGCGAGGGCGACGTGCGTTCCGGCGTGCCTCGCGCTGCTCCTCCTCCATCCGCTCCTTCGCCTCGGCCTCCATGCGCCTGCGGGCGTTGGGCCCGACGTGCTTACTCTGCAGGATCGGGTCGACGGAGGCGTCCTCGTGTTCAGATTCCGCGATGCCCTTGTCAAGGTTCACGATGAAGCGCCGCTGCGCATTTGGTTGCACGAGCGAGCGGGGGTATGCTGTCGAAACGGCGGGCATGGTGTACGGGTGCGCGCCCTGCACCTGTTGTGCATTTTCCAGTTCGGATATTCGGTCAAGTAGAAGGCTGGAATTGGGTTTTAGAGTCTGCAATGTTGCGTAAGCAAATAAAGGACACACTTTCTTTCGGATCTCCACTTGACGTTTCTGTCTCCCGACGCATGAAGTTCAATAACAGTCTCTTTGTATCTCTGCCGAGGTTGAGGATCAGCAACTACCAGCGATGATCCCATCGCGAATGACTGACCTCTTCGAGTTCGAAGAACTTTCGCTTGAGTCGTCTGTACTTGTCAGGTAGTTCCTGATTTTCTCTTGTCCTGCTGTCACTGGAAGTCGATTGTGCAACTTGCGTGGGCAGCGGAGGTGGGCCCATGACGACGTCGCGGTCGATGGGTGTCGACATCGTAGCCATCGTTGGGTGACTCGTTCGCGAGGGACGACTCATGGTTGCCAATGATTATGACACACTAGCGGACACGATCAGCGCTGAAATCGCCGACGCCGACGCTGGGAGAGTTGACGTTGTTGACGTCGCTGGGGGCGGGAAGAGGGCGATGGGAGGAAAGGGAGAACCCGGGGAAGGACGATTATGGGGGAAATACGAGCGTTGATTTGGCAGTTTTGTTTTGGAATAGCCACCAAACCCAATTCACTTCCGAAATCTAACTGCTGCCTGGACTCGAACGGTCAGGAACGCTGCTCTTGGCGGGCCTAACCCCTTCAAAAACTAGACTAAATTATGATACAATATTCTCTGTATTCAGCTGTGTCATCGACGTGCAGAACTCGTGGTGGATGATGGACGGTCCGGCCGTTGCTTGGGGGGCGGAAATGATTGTCGGTCGAATCGAGTCGCCAACTTGCGTGGCGTAGCGGTACAAGCGCCGTCACCCCATCCATTTCGGGACGTCCCCATCAGATTCCACCTGAGCTTGTAGCCAGGCGCCCGTTCCACTACGCTTCCAGATATGGCATCACCCCTGACATGGCCGCATCCGGGCGAGGTCTCAATTCTCCGCGGGCGGTGTGCATCATGCGACATGCTGGCGCTCCCATGGACGGCCCTACTCGCTCCGGAGCAGTGCCCATGCTGCCTTGCATCCGAAAGGACCCGCACCGTCTGAATCTCAGCGGTGAGGGACCGGTGTCATGGTGAGAAGCGGAGGTGTCAGGCTGACTCTCAACTTCTCGCGTCTGCTCTCACGGCACCTTTCGTTAGGGAGCGTCTGTTGCCCTTCTGCCAGACGCCAGCCACATCTGACACATACCATCCGTCCCTATCAGCCCGCCACTATGACCCCGCCTGATTGCGATGAAGCCGACGGCTGCTGCTGTATTAGCATATCGCTCATCACGGACGCATGGGCTGAGCCTGGCTATGCCTGCCAGAACTTCGCATCGCTTGATCATGCCTCGCGCCTTGTGCGGCAGGCCCAACCTTGTCCCAAGCATAGCTAGAGAGGGAGGTGGGGCGACAAACTTGGCGAAGCTAATCTCGTCCCAATACAGCTTGGCTTCAGCCACGAGGTGCAAGTCGGCGCTTCCGTGACCGTCGTCATCACCACCGCGTCTTCTCGTTCTCACAGCATTCGGGCAGGTCAAAAGCACTCTCGGCGCGTGCGGACATCTGTCCAGCCCGACACTCCCGCTTGCTACGCCCCGCGACGACTCTCTTCGAGCGAGGCAGCACCGCAGCCCGCGTCGCGACCCCGCCGAGGCAGTGCATCAGACGGACGTCCTCCGAGGCTGCGGGAGAGCGCCGAATAGGGTTTAACCTCCCATCAGTGACACGTCCCGAAAAAAGTCATCTGCCAGAGATCGGCCTCTGCTGCCGCAACGCCACCACCACGAAGCAGCCCCTCTTCCCCATTTGCGGCAATCGCAACATCAACTCCCACGCTCCCTATTCGGGATCCCACTCACGCCCGCGACCTAGACCGCCAGGCCTCCCGCCGACCGGCCGCGCGACGACGACGTGCAGGCTGCTCGCCCCGTCGGGATCATCGCTACCCACACTGCTCACGGCTTCGATCCATTCTGCGCAGCCTTTCACAGGGCCATGCACGTTCTCAGGCAGTACCACGAGCAGACACTGGTGCTTCTGCCACCACATGTGTTCACGGCAGCAGCTCAGAAGTCGGCGGCCATCAGGACAATTTTGTCTGATACGCTGCTTACAACAGATGTTCCATAGACCCGGCGTTACTTATTGCGATAACTGCCTTCGCACCCTCGTTCGCAGCTTCGTATCGCAAGCGCGTCCGCAGGCAGAGGCCGCCTGTCAGCACAGATACAAGGGGCAGTCCGTCACTCATGCACAGAGACGCGTCGGGCCTGTCACAGTCTCTGGGTGGCAGTGTCGGCCTGCGACAGCTCACAAACCTGCACATGTCGGGTCTCAGCTTTGTGGCGTTGCAAAACAGGCCATGAGAAAAACACATCGCGCCCGACCCGGATCGGCGCGGAACCGGGCGGAATCCCAACCACCTCGTATGTTTCCGCCGGACAGCAAACGTAATTCATTTGCTGAGTTCGAAAGCTGGACTCGTTCCAAGTTAGCTGGCTGACAGCAATACATCAGCCAGCGCTGGCAGCGTTCTCACAACTCAATTGAAGCGGGATGCGGGATGGGAGTCGGAGTACCTCGTCTGGCTGGGTTCTAGGTTACACAAGTGAGAAGGTATCGAAGTGCTGTTGCAGTCGGTTGATCGGAATTGTGCGGCCCAAAGTCATCTGTCATCTGTCAAATGCGCCATAACTCGGCAAACGAATAATCAGGTTCGAGCTTGGCTAAATAGAAAGTGGCAACGGCTACGGTTCGCTTTGCGCCGGGGCGACAGTCAAATCTTGGAAATGCGCAGCGATGTTATCTTCCTCCCTCATAAAGAGCTCTTTCACACTCTCCATCGCAGCCCTCCGACACGACGGCGTCAGCGCGAGGCGCAGGTCGCTGTCGGCCTCCAGCAGCTCTTGCATCATCCGCAGCCTGCCGAGCACGTCGACCGCCGGGCGGTGCACCATCAGGTCGTTCTTCGTCGTCGTCTTCCAGATCGAGTTCCACGTGCTGAGGCAGCCGTGCGCGTGGTACGTGCAGCCCTCGGGGCGCGCGAACGTCGGTGGGGTCTCGCGGATCTGCTCCCAGCGGCGCACGAGCGAGAAGAAGCCGCTGAGCAAACGCGCCCGCTGCGGTGGCGTCATGGTGTGCCGCTCGCCGCCGTCGGCCGCGAGCAGCGGCTCATACGCGCACTCGAGCCGCTCGTTGCACGCGATGAGCGTCTCGTAGTAGCTCACGCCCCGCAGGCGCGCGAGCCCGTGTTGGTCCGCGACGTCCATCGCGTATACCGGGTTCGCGAAGCCGACCAGGATCAGCTGCACCCACTTCTCGACGGCGTGGTCGCACAGCCGTTTGTGCCCGCAGAGCAGCGCCACCTCGATGATGCGCCGCAGGATGGGCGCTTTCGACCAGGCGGGTTCGGGTGGGTAGTACATCGCCCGGTAGGCCCTCCAGGGCTCGGCAGGGCACTCTGTCACCTCGCACAGCGCCGTCATGGCCCATGCCGTCGTTGTGACAAAGTGGTACTTGTTTGCCATCTGCGCGACTGTCAGCAGCTGGCATATGTTGGCAGGGTTTGATCTCAGTTCGTGCTGCTCGGCGGGTCTGTAAACGGATACATGATGAGGCGTACGACGGTCCTCGTCTGCCATGACAACTCACAAAGCGTAGAGAATCACCAGCAGAGCCTCGAAGTCCGAGGCGGTTTCCCCTTCAAGGACAATGGGATGGTCGTCTGAGTAACCTTCCCTTGGAAGGTCTCGGTCATCGTCGCCGGCAGGCATGCAGAACATATCTTCGAACGCAGAAGAGTCCCGGCTCAGGATAAAGCGGTGAATCTGGACGGGGATTGCCAAATTTAGCTTCGGATCGAGGTCCATGCAGACAGCTACGCACCCTAAACAATGTAGCTTCTATCCGAAGAACACAGTCTCCATCATGCATGTAGAACTTTGAATGTCGCGTAAACGCCTCGACCATCTCGTCTGTGACACAATCGGTAGTTGTCGATGGTGTCTCTTCGTTTCCAGTCTCGAGGCGTCGCCGTTTCGATATGCGTGCTGACTCCAGGTCTGGTGTGGACATGCGCATGAAGTGTGGGGCAATGGTGGGGCAGAGAAAGCCGTATACATACCTTGGGCGACATCTGTGTGTGGCCTGACCTGTGGGACCAAAGAGGCTCCGGACATGGTTCAGTATCTCAAAGGCAAAGCGGCGTGTTCGGTATTTGTTGAGGTCAGTTGACTCAGTTCAAACTGCGTAAGCGGCGTCGAGGTCCGAAGACGAGCGGTAAGGGTCGGCCCCCGCACGCAGTACGGCCCGTAGCTTGAAATAAACGAGAAAAAACGATAAATAAAGATGATGGATGGAGTCAGGACATGGCTTTGGTCGACTTCGTGGCGGCGAGTCTTCGCTTGGCTCGCACGGCACAGCATGTCGGGGCATGCCGACGTTTAGGCGCCCATGAAATTTCCTGGCGGGATCGCAGCGAGCGGTCCAATTGCAGTCAAGTGCTTGTCCTACTGTCTTTACGAACCCTTCCCTAGACTCTTTTTTTTACGATGGTACGCAGTGTCATTCACTTTTATGTTGGAAAATGAGCTGAAAGAGCTGCCTCCAGAGACCCATTCTCCTCCAAGGTGCGGCCAGGACGTAAGCGTGTACACACCAGTGCTCATTGGCCTGGCGGATGACCAGGACACGAGCGTTCACTCACACAAATCAAGTTCAATCGCGAAGGAGATTTGCTGTTCTCATGCTCAAAAGATCATGTCATCAACGTCTGGTTCGCCGACAATGGGGAGCGGCTGGGAACGTATAATGGACACAACGGTACTGTCTGGACAATCGACGTCGACTGTACGTGCAGAGCTTCTCTTGTTTCGACCCATGCTTAATGATCTGTTTCCCCTTGCCCTCGCTGTGCTTTGACTTCCATCGTGTCGTTCATTCACCCCGAAAATAAGCTCTATCCCGCTTCCTGGTCTCTGGTTCCGCCGACAACACCATGCGCCTCTGGTCCGTGCAAACCGGCAAGTGCCTGTATAGCTGGGAGTTCCCCACTGCCGTCAAGCGCGTTGCTTTCAGTGAAGACGACGACCAAATCGTCTGCATCACCGAGCAGCGCATGGGTCACCAGGGTGCTATCCGCGTCTTCGACATCGACCGCGAAGGCGACGGCACGGACCGTACGCCTGTCTCCTCTTTCTCCCAGGAAATCCGCTGACCTGCCGTATCGCACGTGCAGAATCAAAAGAGCCCGTCTCGTTTTTTAACCCGACGAGCAGCAAAGCCGTCGTCTGCGCCTTTGCCCACACCCCAAACCTCATCCTCACCGGGCACGAGTCCGGAAAAGTCGCGCTCTTCGACGCCAGCACCGGTGAAGAGGTCCAAGCCAACGAGCGTGCGCACATGGATGTCATCACCGACCTTCAGCTCTCGCCCGACCGCTCGTATTTCATCACCAGCAGCAGAGACAAGACTGCACGAGTGAGTCTTCACCCTGCTAATCGGATTTAGAATGGTAGCGTTGACTGTTGTATCGGCACAGCTACACGATACACGGACGCTGATGGTCCTCAAAACTTACACCACAGAAACGCCGCTGAACAGCGCGGCGATCGCGCCAACCAAGCCCTACGTGAGTGTCTCTTTCTCGGATTGTTTGCATTGCGAGACTTGACCTCCCTGGCGTGCAGGTTCTTCTCGGCGGTGGTCAAGACGCAATGAGCGTCACAACAACATCGCTGCGGCAAGGCAAGTTCGAGACCCGGTTCTGGCACAAGATCTACGAGGAGGAGGTCGGCCGTGTCAAGGGCCACTTCGGCCCCGTGAACACGTACGTCAGCCTGTCCCCCCCCTCTTGCCGCCTTCGAGCTCACCCTGTGTTTGCGCGCGCTCTAGGATCGCGGTCTCCCCAAAGGGCGATTGCTACGCATCTGGCGGCGAGGATGGCTTCGTGCGCGTGCACCACTTTGACGAGAGCTATTTCCGTGCAAAGCCGTATGGCGACCTCGAGATCGAGGACTAGCTGGCGGTGGCTTCCCTGTTTTCGTCATGCATGTTCTGTTTTGCAATGTACATCGTGGAACCCGCATTTTTGTGATACGCGCCGCAATACGCTGCGTGTCTGCTGCACTCTTGTGAAGAAACTGAGGCAGAGTTGTATTTGGCGATTTGCGAGTGGTATCTACTCTGCGCTTCTTTGCGATTCCAGCCAAGTCCGACTTCAACGTTCTATTGCTCATGCTGCATGGATTTACGTGGCGACGTTGATGTCATGCGGATACTGGAACGTATATCTGTCGTCGCCAATAAGGATCGGTTTGCGTACATGGACCGGCGTCCGATAGCAGTCAGGAGATGTCACACTGATCCAATGGAGGTGGCCGGCTACGGATATGTGGAGGCTCGAAATGATTGGATCGAAGAAATTGGAGACGGGTACGGTTGTTGGAAACAGAAGGAGATTATTGACCCAGAGGACGAGGACGCCCTAGTGGATGGACACCGTAGAAGCCCTCCTTCGATCATCTTCATCGGAAGTCACCGTCTTCACAACCATCCAAATTACACAATACTATTAAACATCTAAAAGTGTGGTAGGACAGGTCTATATGTATGACAGACTTGATTTCATCGCCGCTCTTGTTGTGCTGCTTAATGCATGCATTATCCCACGGACAATCTGCTGTAGCTGTATGTATAGCCTGGTCTCTATTTTGCCTTTCACATATCTGTCGTCTCATTCAGGACTTCGGACTACCATGTAGTTATACCATTCAAGGAACCTCTAAGCCTTCCCGTGTTCGTTAGCCCAGGAGCCAATATCGTGGTATTGTCTGTGGATTCGGTGCTTAGCGGGAGTTATGTATACCCCGACTCAGTCGACTCACGGAGGAAGGTCGAGCTGGGGAGGTGGTCCTTGCCAAGGCTGCCCAGGAGGAGGCATGAGAGAGATGACTTGCATCGGGAACTCCAGTTTGGTATCGTTCCCTATGCCTGGGAAGTCGACCTTTAACCGTACGCTATACTATAGTGTACGTCAGTAATCTGGATCTCGGATGTTATGTCAATCAGAATCGCCTCTAAGCTCAGGATCTCTGTGCTGAAAGACGGCGGACAGTCTAAGATGAAGGATGATCTAAACGCCACCTCCTGCCTCCACTGGCCTTTGTGCTTTTTCTCGTCATGAGAGTCATTTGAAGGGATCCAGACTTTTCGCGCAGCCTGCACTTGGAGGCCGTCGTAGAACTGCGGGTCGTCGCTTTCCCCGAGCCCACCGAGTGAACCGACTGTGTTCACCTCCTCCTTCCGTGTAGCCCCGCGCCTTGACATAATTCACGTATACCATGTTGAGCTCGTACTTCTTCGAGTCTTGCGGCGGCTCAGGGAAGATCTCATCTTTCTCTTTGTGATCATCAAACTTCATAGTCTTCGTCACAGTGACGATGCTCAGGGTGACAGGTATGGGTGTCAGAATCGGGAGAGCGTTGGTGTCCGGGAAGATGAGCTGTGGGCAATCCGGGTTAGCTTACAAGTTTGCCACATATCTTCGAGTAACTCACGGTTGCGTGGACCTGTGAGTAGTCACCCCAGATTCCTCGGCGAATTTTGTCCCTGGCTTCATAAGTCTTCCAACCACCGTTCCATCCTGCGCTCAACGCCGACCGCAGCCTCACGCCGCGATTATCGACAGGAAGGACAGGGAAAGATTGCTGGACCCTGTGGTTAAAATGAAGGCCATGGCGCTCTCCTACCGCCTCGAGGAAATAGCCGACCGTGCCCGACCAATGGAGGCCCGAGTAAAAGCACGAGGGAGGAAGGTTGACGGGTAGAGTGAATCGGAACGGCAGCCTAAGGACATGTGTATTTGGCTGAGGGTACACGGTCGAGCCCTTCTTCCACAGTGAGATATTCGCGCGGCATATGTCGACATGCTGATAATAATTGGTGTCGCTAGTCCCTGAAGCTTGTGAATCTTCACGAGTAATCATCCTGTAAGCAGAAGTCAGAAGGCGTCGCCAGTACAAAAGTGATTGTGAACTAACGTCATGATGGCACCTCGTAGTTTGATATGAACCTCTTCGATGTCGTCTTCTACGAGCTTAGGAAAGTAGAGGTCTACAGCACCTTCAACAAACTCTCCCGCGACGTGTAGACGTGAGTTGAACACTAAGTTCACGGCATCGAGCGCGTCCTTGCCCATGATTGATTCGGTTGTAGTAGTAGAGGATGTTCAATATGTTGGCGAATATCACTCAAGCCCGTCGTGATTCATACCTGATCGTTGCGGAGGCAGTGTGTTCGGTCGCCGTATAGGGGAACACATGAGGATTCAAAGGCTTGCTGATGGGCTCGTCAAGGTGAAGACAGCTGTGAAGCAGGGATCAATAATGCTATACTGCTCCTCGCGTCGTCTGCACCAGTCTGGTAAACACACGATCTCTTATCACGTATGGATCATAACTGCACCGCCCAAAGCTGCTGCTACGCGTATGCTTTCAGTTGTCTTGCGTCAACGTAAGAGACTATCGTGTAGGGTGCTGCCGTTCGATCGATCTTCCGATTTAGATAGGCACTGGATACTATCACTAAGTTACCCAGAAGGGTTGTTGCTCACTGGCGCTCATCAGTGAGACGCCACTCAGGCTGCAGGAAACCGCCAACTGCCAGTGAGTGCACACCACACCATGGCGGAAGAGAATTCTACTTTGTTGACACGGCCTACGAAGTACAACATCGAGGACTCCAACATCGCATTGTTAAGGTCGGATGTACTTTCTCTCGTCCAGCTCGAGAGGTCTCAATGAGATGTTAGTCGCGCGGATGCCGAATGGAGAAAAAAGTCAGAGAGCACGCAGATAGCTTGTGATTTAGATCTGGCGGATTGCGAAGTTCGCCGTCGTCGAATGGCCCAAGGCGCGCTTTGGATCATTCTACGATGGAGACTCGTACATAGTCTTGCATGTAGGTACAATCCGAGACTGGAAGAGACAAACCGTACTCATTCGTGCCACTGTGTAAAGACATACAAGCCAAGCCCAGACTCGCAAGAGCTGGCTTACAACCTACACTTCTGGCTCGGTTCAGAGACCACCCAGGATGAGGCCGGCACCGCAGCCTACAAGACGGTGGAGCTAGACGGTCGTAAGTACGCTTCTGTGACGATGAATGGCTGGTGACCACTTTCTCACAGTGGCCATCCTTTGCAGATCTCGACGAGAAGCCAGTCCAATATCGCGAGATTCAAGGATATGAATCCTCCAAGTTCCCTTCCTATTTTCCGCACTTTCTCTGTCTCGAGGGCGGCGTGTCCACTGGCTTCCACCACGTCTCGTCCACGCCACCAGACAACACCCGCAGACTGTACAGGGTAACGGCTTCTGGCCACCAGCTGGTCGTACGCGAAGTGCCCCCAGAATCACCTAGCCTCGTGCCAGGCGATGTATATGTCTTGGACATGGGCAATAAGGTGTGGCAGCTGAACACAAAGGGTAGCGTCGGAAAGGAGAGGTTTAAAGCTGCAGAGTTTGACCACTCGCTGGCCACCGACAGGAATGTCACGGAGGCCTGCGAGGTCACGGTGTTCGGTGGGTGTAATTGAGAATGAAGGGTCGGAGGGTAATCTAACTAGAGTGATGCAGATGAAGGCGGACACGGCGCTGGCATTTTCCTCTCCGAGTTTGGACTGGAACGCTTGCCTTCCGGTCCTGAGGCACCTGGGCCTGATGTCAAATCGCCAGCACATGCTCCTTTCTGTTGAAGTCAGTGTTGTAAAAAAATTGGGCCTGCGTCGCAAAACACGCGAGACGAGAAGCATATATGCACCTTCAGTGGCGGCATTAATGTAGTTCTTGTCCTTGTTGCCACACTGTAGGCCGCAGCATGATCACCGTCGAACTCGCCGCCCCGCTGGACTGGTGGTCTTACTGTCAAATGTTACACCCGCCCCCGCCGGACTGGTCTTACGCACGGGTGCAGAATGATGTATTTTTGCTGCACTCTTGTGAGAAAACTGGTGTCGCGGGAGTTAGGATTGTGTCTGCCGATTTGCGAGTGGCATCTGTCCTGCGATGTCTATCTCCGATGCGACGTCTAACACCGACAGCCTGGCTTGGCCGCGGCAGCACACCGTTTCTACAGGTCTTAGTCGCTTTCGAGCGAGGCACAGCGATCAGGGGTGCTAAGTATCGTGCTCGATTTATTGCACCCGGTCGCTTCGGTCGGCAGACATGTCCGATTTCTCGCAGTCGACGTCGTCTACAGTCATTGGGACGTTCGTGATCCGCAGCTGTGCTATCAGTAAAGTAAAGCAAACCCAAGCGGTGTGATCTATGCACAGCCCAAAGCTCTTCCAGAGTTCAGCAACAATATTTCCCCCTTGCTAGTACGTGGCTGAGTGGCCGCAGTCCACGTTCTACCGCGAGCTCACACTAGACTGCCCCGCAGCCCGTTACCCTCTCCCGTTGGAGCACAGCTATACGACATGATATTGTTCGGCCACGGGAAGTTACCGCTGTACCCTTGATCGCCTCCGCGGAGCTTAATTGCCCGACCAGCGGAGATCTCTGCTAGCTGTACATACTGTACTGATTCCGGGGTCGCTGTCGCGGCTGCGGACCTGTCAACGCGAGCCTGACCACCCGTGTCGCGTGTTGGGGCACCTTTGCGCCGTTCGAGGGTCACCCTCGGGGTTATGATGTGAATCAGGGACTGCAGCTTCAGACTCCCCTCGATGCGACTGGTGTGCGCATTCCAGGGATTGGTCATGTCGGTGCTATGACGTGGGCGGCCCAACTTGACTCCAAGTGCTCCTTCCGCACGTGATTGATGCGTCGTTCCGGGAGATGCGGAGATGTGAGCGGGCTCAAATTGAGCAGAGTCTTCTAGGGTATCTTAAAGCTTCGAAGGTGTTATCACAGTAGAAACAGGGGCTGAGGCGGAATAGATTGTTGACAAATGAAGGCAGAGCGAGAAATTGCGAGAAATTGCAAGATAGCGCTGGAAGATGCTTGCGAAGATGACGTCAGAGCATATTGGTCTGGCAGTGGACAAAATAGGAGATAAAACCATGGACCCACTACGACGTCACAAGGCGAAACGGCATTGGACTCTCTGCGTACTTTCGAGTCCTACTTCCTTTCGACTCGCTGGTTTGACTTGTCGACACCTCGGGGACGCTACGACCCTGTCATCTCCGAGCCTGGTCTCACACCGTTCCAACACCCCTGTGCTCTCCTTTTTGGCCTTTGTCTTGTGTACCCCTTCTTCCGAACTGTGACCTCCAAGTCAAAGCGCTTGTGCACCGGTTTCCACACCACGTTGTCTTTCTATTGCGCCGATCCAAGGCTGCGCCTTTCCCCACCCCCGATTGCTCCACGGCGGCTACGTTCCATGGGCATAATCTTTGTGTTTACCTCCCAGGGATCCACCATTGACGGCGCGCTCCTAGGTTCAGAGTACGTTGCTTACGGCGTATAATATTAACCAGACGACGTACGTGCATGCTCTCTCCACCTCCCCCGACGCAGTGCCCTTTCTCACAGACGCTCTGACGCAGTCACTTCGACCACAGGCTTGCTTGCCCTGGCTGCCTCCCCCCGGATACACACCACTCCAAGGTGAACAGCTTCATGCTTCCCACCACCGCGTGTTCGGCTAATACATCTGCATGCAGGATTGCTTGCCGCCCCACCAGAAAACAACAAGATGCGGGCTGCCTTCAGCACGTCGCGCTCCCCTACACCGCAACTGCCCGGCGAACGCAGTACGCCGAAGCCAGATAAGACGGAGATGCCATCCGCGCAAGAGCTGCTGCTGTACGACAGCGAAGAGATAACGTGGCCGTTGTCGCTAGGAGCACGGCCGTCAGAGAGTCAGAGCGCGGTTGCTGAGCCGCCTGGGCTAGGAGGTGAGTCGCGGTCTTGTCGAATGGACTGTTGGGGTCGGCGCCGGTACGCGGCCGCGGCAGCGGGAACACGTGGCACTTGCCTTTCTTGGGAGATGCCAACGCCGCGCAGAGGGACATTGCTTCGCGCATTTTCTGGTGCCGTCTCGACTCGAGTTTAAGCTGCGCTCGAACGGCAGCCTCTGGTTGCGGCATCACTCAGCCGGAGTTTCAACTGCTTGTTTGCAGGTCGCATGCGCACCTGCAAGCGTCCAACATCACCGTCCACTCATTCCTTTTTCTGTCTCTCGTCTGCCCGTCCGAATCTTTGTCTCTCCTCCATCCTGGTCCGCGGGCAGGCTCTCCCCTCATCATTCATTCATATCATGTCCATTTCCGCTCGCGCATGCTAGACGTACCAGATCCTGACGCTGCTCTGACAGTCCTAATTACGCTCTTGTCATTCTTCCTATCCTTTCACCAGCACGTTCCTCCCGCGGGTCGCCGCTTACATCCTCTTCCTGTATTTTATAGTGCATGATATTTTCCCCCCAGCTGCCCACCCCCGCAACAGCTTTTTCGACGACGACGTCCAGAACGATCCCGAATTTTTCGATCGCCATCGCGAGCACCGCTCACGCGAGCCCACTCTTCAAGAGTCCTCGTCGGGGCATGCCCCCCAGCTAGGTCCATCGAGCATGCCTTCCGCACCAGACTCTGGAAAGCCACCAGGATCCTCGCGCGGACGCTCCTCCTCCAACGCGTCGCGTCGCGGCTCATCCTCACGACAGACTCCGAGCCAAGCGTTCCAGGCCCACTACCCGTCCCGGCCGGACCCTCCTATACGGCAGCCGAGTTACCACGGGCAGTACCAGTCTGCTGCCGCCGCACCTTACTCTCAACGCGCACCATACGGAGGTGGACAATACACGATTTCCCCTCCGCTACCGCCCGTCAGTATGGTTGGCCAGCCTGCTGCGCCTCAGTACTCCTATCCATCTCATCCAGGCCTTGTCGCTCAGGATCCAAGCATGCAGTCACGAGGTCTCTTGGGTTATTCGCCGAACCCGTTCATGCCTGCGATACAGCCGCACACCCCTATTTACACGTACCCGGGCCAGCAGGAGGCCGCTTCTCCGTCTAGCCAGTCCTATGTAAGCAGTCCGACGACCACGCCAGGAATTTACTCGTCCGCTTCTTCATCGCACGCTCTTTCGGCGACTTCCAGCAGCTCCCAGCAGTCTTACACGACTCCTTCGCCGTACGCTGCACAGTACCCTTCCACACCCTTCACCTACCCGTCGCACTCGTTCGGGAATTCGGGGAACACACTCTACCAGAGCCAGTTCTCGTATGGACAGCAGTACCGGCCCCCTATCCCTGCTGAGCAGGGGCAGGGGACGTGGTGGTATCTTCCGCCGGGTACACAGCCTGCCCCTTCACCACACTACATGGTGTATGACAACCCGTATCCGGCGATGGCGATGTACAACTCACCGCTCACCACTCGCGAAGCCGAGTCGTACAGTATGCCGCATTCCGCCCCACCTACAGTCTCTCCATTCCACTATCCGATGTCGCCTCGGCACCAAGCACTGCAGTCTCCATATGCGGTTACCACGCCCTCGCAACCGCAGCCACAGCGCCCACCTGGACCCGACCCTCCTCCATTAGCGGAGCCTTCCTCGCGGTCTGTCTCTGAACCTCCCAACAGTCAGGCGCCTACTTCTTCTGGGACAACGAGTCGCGTCGATCGACAGCACGCCCGGAGGCCGTACCATCCGAACCCCCCTGCGCATCGCTCAGAGTGGGTAATGTGGGCGGGGAACGTACCTTCGGATGCGACACACGACGAACTCTGGCGTTTCTACAACAGCTCTCCCTCTCCCGTCCCGTCCAACAGCAGCCATTCCAACGTCAGCGACACGGCCTCGCTCGGTTCCGTCTACGGAGGTGTTTCGTCGATCCACCTCATCTCGCGGAGCAACTGCGCTTTCGTGAACTTTGAGAGCGAGGGCCACCTGAGTGCTGCCATCGCGCACTTCAACGGCCTGTCTCTTCGTCCGAACGATCCGAGATGTCCCAGATTAGTCTGCCGAGTGCGAGCTCGGGAGGACGACTTGCGGGCAGGGGTCGGCGGGCAGAGGGGTGCAGGTATCCATGTGCGATACGCCAAAGAGCAGAGGCAGAGACAGAGGCAATCTAGAGTCGCGGCGAGCCCCGGGGCAATCTCATCGGAGCCGCCGTTGAGCTCACCCGAGGATCCAATGCCGATGATTAGCAGCTTGTCGTTGTCAAGCAACGAGGATGGACTCTATGTGCGCAGATCCAAGAGACCTGCACAACACTCGAGCAGCTCAGGGTCGTACGCGTCGTCAAACTCAAGCTTGTTCTCGCAGTTCTTCCCGAAGAGGTACTTCATCCTCAAGTCGCTGACCCAGGTGAGTGACGGTCGGCCCGCCTTGCTCTTTTTTTCTTCTTTTTTCGTTGCCACGTTTCGCGCACCTAGTTTGCGCCGGAGATACCATCATTCGCTTCTGCTGTGGGGTTCGGTGGGCTTAAGATGCGGCGGTGCCCTTTATCTCAACTGCCCGGCCTTTGGTTACACCGTGACTAACGCTCGTTTTTCCCACAGTACGATTTGGATCTCAGCGTCGAGAAGGGTCTATGGGCGACACAGCGGCACAACGAAGGCATCCTCGACCAGGCCTATCGCACCAGCAAGGACGTGTATCTCATCTTCGGGGTGAATAAGTCCGGCGAGTTCTATGGCTGTGCCAGGTCAGTGTGGCTTTCTGGGCCTGCCTGCCGCCGATGAATAGCTAACGATATCTTCACAGAATGGCTGGCCCTGTCCTGCGCCTTCAGGGCGAGCGGCAGGAAGGACAAAATGTCCCTTGGGCGTCAAGGCCGCTTGCCGGTTCTCCGTCTCGACGTGCGACCACCCCAGCCGCGTCAGTGACGAGCCCGTCTGCCTCACAACGTTACTTTTCGCCTGCTGACGGCGACCGCTATGAACAATCACCGCTCCCTCTCGACACCCCAGACGCCGATCGACCACTGCTGGAGCTGTCATCTCATACGGCTCCTGCGGTAATGCACGCCAAACATCGCCCACTAAGCAAACTCTCCGCAGGTCTTCCCCGTCATGGCGACCTGAGCTATAATGCAGGCATTGCGAAGGCTATTTTAGGAGAGCAGCCGATGACTGGACGTTCTGAGTCTGAGCCTGCGACCAGCGCTCTCGAAGACCCACCTTCGGAAGCGCCGGAGGCTGCTGATGAAGCGAAGGATGAGGGCCCAGTCTGGGGCGAGTCTTTCCAGGTCGAGTGGATTCGTACCGACAGCCTGCCTTTCTATCGGACTCGCCACCTTCGGAACCCTTGGAACCACGACCGGGAAGTGAAGGTGTCGCGCGACGGCACGGAGTTGGAGCCGTCTGTCGGACAAGCCCTCCTGGACGAGTGGGACAAGCCCGACCCGCCGCCGCCGCCGCGGCAGACAGCGCAGCACGCGCCGGACGCCACGCCATCGACGCCGGCGTAGAACGCCTCAGTGGGACTGCGATGCCCAACCACCCCTTAACGACCCACCTTGCGCATCTCACCAAAATATCACGCAACACGACGTACGACATACACGATTCGCATCGCACGTATTGCACTCCATGATCACCTTGTCAGTGGTGCATATCTTAATGCTATTCTAGTGCACGATAGGGTTCTCTCTGTAATACACGGCACTCGAAGAGCCTTGTCATGGAATTCATCTACTGTTCTTGGTTTATCGTTTCTTGGTTTTCTCTTTTCTAGTCGGGGATTTGGGGTTTTCCGGGTGTATAGGTTTCCGTTATCTAGTAGTCCTGCATCTTGGGTTAGTTCGCTGCTCCACACCGACCTCCTTGCTTGCATCCCAGCCTCCCTCGTCTTCTGAATCATTGTTGTTACATCATCGCTATTTCGCTGTCATCCCGTCGCTGATCCCCAGGCAGCACCGCTTGTAGCACTAGTTAGATCTGTTGTCCTCCCTTACTTCATCTGGCTTGTATAACTCGCGCCACGGCATAATACACGAACGCGCCTTCAGCGCTGAGTTTGGAATATCTCTGTCCCTGCTTGTCTCGTGCGTACCCCTTTTCTCCGTACTCCGCACCGTCTACCCATCGCCTCTTTCGGCCAACCGGCCAGAGCAGAATAGCTCAGGAACCAAGGGCATTAATCGTCGCGTAAGTCCGTCCACACCACCGTGCTGTCCTGTACTTACGTCCCGGGGAAAATTTATTAATTAAGTGGGTGACGCGTCCATGTTCTAGCCAGTGTGTGTACTAGGGAAGGCCTGATCTGATGCGCCGGTAGATAGCAGGCACCCACGTTGTGTGAATGGTACCTCGATGTGGTCTTGGCCCTGTCCTTTGCAGCACAGCTTGTCGGGTTCACAGCCGGTCTACGAGCCAGCACATCAGGGAATGAGAAGGCGAGTTACGTGTTCATCGTCGACGGAGCACGTACAGATAGCTGACATGCGGGAGATTGTCGTCGCCAGGGTAAGGACTCTCGCGGGAGAAAAACTAGCCTGTAAAATATCCAATATAGGGAGCGAGACGTTCCTGCCTCGGGAACTTGAGGCTATACTAGCTAGGGCCGACCGTGGTCGAGGCAGAGGTCAGTTGCTGGCAAGGCAGGATCTCTCATCCCGAGTTTCTCCAGCGAGGATCGGACCTTATTGTACCACCAGCCTCGAATACCCACGCGTCGGACGCGCGCCGGGAGACTCGGCGAGTGTCTCGTGTGAGGTGTGCGGAGTCTCCTTGAGGTAACGACCGCAGGAGATTTCTCCCTAGGTGTGCACGAGGTCCAAAATTTGCGCGAAGCCCCGGAAGCCGCGAGGGCGACTTAACACCCTGTGTTTGGTCCGGTCAGATCAGGCAAAGACAATGGCACCTCCGCCGTTGTCTCGTGCAGGAGCTTCTTGTCACTGCGCGTGATAGATCGGCCAGCATATCATCGGACATCTGCGAGGTACTGATTTTCTAGGCGGCGTGTGTGAACATGCAGCCCGCTCGTCCCACTCACCGCTCGCACATGTTCGGCTGGCTGTCTTTTCTGGATGAACATGAGGTGTGGCTGCGTAAATGACATGAAGTACACATTTTCGGAAATGTCTAGGAGCGGACAGACGTGGCACATCGGTGCAGAAGGTCATCGGGAGCACAGACTGCCTGCTTCCTGACACTACGCTTATCCGCCTGGGGAAAATTCCTGTGCACGCTCAACCCGCGCAGGTCATTAGCGACCTCGGTTTCAGACCCTCAATGTCGAAGGGACGCTTCCGACTGGTAGAAAAAACCACCGTCTCTGCCTAGTTCCTCTCTGACTTACGGCTACGAACTTAAGGCAGAGGAATGTCACGAAAAGTGGAGCAGTGGAGCGACCCTGCGGTCGGCAATGCACATAGCTCCGGTCGTGTACAAGGTCCTGAACAGCCACATTTCGTTTCGCAGAGCCTCACAACAGCGTACAGTGCATGCACGGCCGCAGTTTCCTCGTGAATGTTTATTGCGTTTGTTCCTGCTGAACGTTCATCCGCACCCGCTTTACGATAAATATGTACCTGATGATACGCCTTTGTCGCGCTCGCGGTGTCGCGTACACGATGGTCACAGTCAGTTGCTTTGTGGTCGTACTCTCATACAGGCGGAAAGGGCAAAAAGCCGCTAAGCTGCGATCGGCCGCGGACCCAGACCGCGAGGCGGCACGTCCGCCAATCGGGTTCGAGCACGGTGGTGTCCGCAATCACCTCCGAAAACAAACATTTCGCAACATGCCATATTTGGAAGGTGTACTATAGATTGGTGCTCCGCTTGCTTTGCGCATGGCTTGCGTCAAGGCTCCGCAAATTAATATCGCAGCTATCGGTTTTCGGGCCTAGAATCACGCTGTACATGTGCCGGCGGGTCTGGCAGAATGCTCAGACACCATATAGGCTGAAACCCGCGGCTTCTGGCTCCTGAGAACACGGTTCGCAGCGCGGTTCACGGCTCGGCTCCTAGATAGAGGCAGCAGATATTGCATGCGATTGAAATACCACTCGTGACTTGCTTGCATGTATTTATCCCGAGGATGATAAGGTTGCCTCTCAAAGTATGCTGGGAAACGTGACCAGAACACGCAGAAAATGTACTACTCACCTGGCTGCTTATAGCGAGCATCTCATTCGTCCGTCAACCTGCATCCTACGGTGCTCATGTACCAGGTCGTACGCACTCAAAGAACGTGGATTAAGATAATAATAATAAAAAACCTGCATCCTACCACGAGGCTAACGTACCTTCATATACTCTTCCAGGCGTCTCGTTGCAACCTATAATGGCGATCCTTCGCAGCTCGAATAACAACTTAAGTATGGCTGACACCTCGAACGCATAGTAGCGTGGCAATTATGAAGGTACAAGGTGCAAATCACTCAGCCGCTTACGTGCTATCTGGCCGTCCCAGAATGTGTACCCGACAAGAATGGCCGTCGCCGCCGCTGCGACCGCTCCCGACGATCCTGCGTGCCTCGAATAGGCTGCATGGCGGGAAGGCGTCGACAAACGCCGAGATTTTGGCGCGTCGGGCTTGACTGCCGGGATCAGCGAAGTTCGCGCCCATTAAGCGCCAAATTATAATCTGACTAGGTCCTTGGCCTTGACCGTTCTCTCTCCTACTCTCCCCTATCTGTATCGACTAGCAGTAGCACAACCAGGACTGATTTTATGGATCATGCACAGATCGACAAAAAACTCGAATGGTAAGGAGCCCGCTTCAGAGCCACCGTCCCCGCCCACTGGTGTGGAGTCGCCGAATGGGTTGCACATCCCGGAAGGCAAGGACGGGTTCTTCGGGTACAGCGAGGAGAGGACGTTGCATCAGGTGAGTGCTGGAGTCATCAGATTTATCTCATTTATTTAACGTTGCTCGTAATCTCAGATTGAGGAGAAAAAGTTCGCTCACCGTAGGGGCTCTGAGCTGCCCTCTCCTGCGAGGCCGATGAATATTCTGCCTTCTCCACGCCCAATGCCTGTATCGCACATAGATGGGCTATCTGAGCCAAACTCTCTTTCCGCAAGCTACAATCTGGCGAGCCTCCCACAACCTTTCCTGAACGATGAGTCTGTCTCGACCTCACACGCTGATCTCTCTGGTATGCATGCTATCCCCTAAGCCTCAGTCGGAAATACCCGGGGTCATCCATGGTATGAGCACGATCCAAAATCTCCATGCACAAAGAGCTAACAGCCATGAAAGACGGGATCATCGCCTCAGAATACACATCCATCATTGAATCCTTCCGCAAATGTCTCGAATTGCGCGACAAATACATGACAGTCTCGGGCCAGATGCTCGGTTTCAACCCAAAAGACCACGACGGTTACTTTACTGGCCTAGATAGCCGTGTTGCAGGCGTGTCCGGCGTGCGCCCGGACGTTGATCTTCCCTCGACCGAGCCGCCACCGAGTCCCTACAAGCCCTGGCGCATATACCCACGTCCTCCGCCACCGCATTGGCACTGGGCAGACAAGGGCGCGGTACACCGCCAACCAGGTGACTATGAAGGGGAAGAGTTTGCTTTCGATAACTGCGAGATCCCTGGGCTGGACGAGAGGGGATGGAACTTTGAGATTGATGAACGCGGGGTATACCAAGTCTACGACACTTCTTCACAAGGTGATTGTAGTCAAAAACATAATATACACCCACCTGACCACGCATTGTGGTCGATAGCACAAGAGCGAGAGAAGAAGCCTGTCTTCGACATCCCCACAATCCGAGAGTACTTCATAGACCTCGAGTACGTGTTAGGCGTCATTTCAGACGGGCCTACCAAAAGCTTTGCTTTCCGCCGATTGGGATATCTGTCCTCCAAGTTCACCATGTACAGCCTTCTGAACGAGTTTCAGGAGCTGGCTGACATTAAGGTGGGCCTTTTGCCGGTCCGATCTCAAACCTGAAGCTCATTATGCGCCTTGGCGTCCGCAGAGAGTCCCCCATCGGTATGTAGCTGGGTGAACTTATAAACCCTCGATCTGATACTAGTCATTAACCAGCGACTTCTACAACGCGCGTAAGGTCGATACTCACGTTCACCACTCAAGTAGCATGAATCAGAAGCATCTGCTGCGCTTCATCAAGCATAAAATGAAGCACAACGCTCATGTTGGTCAAATGTCCCATCCTCGCTCTCCGAGTGTTGACATCGCATCATTCAGGACATTGTGATCTTTCGTGATGGCAAGAAGCTTACGCTCGAACAAGTATTCCAGTCGCTCAACCTGACAGCTTACGACCTCTCGATCGATACACTCGATATGCACGCGCACCAGGACTCCTTCCACCGCTTCGACAAGTTTAACTTGAAGTACAACCCCATCGGCGAGTCGCGTCTGCGAGAAATCTTCCTCAAGACAGACAACCTCATCCAGGGTAGATACTTGGCTGAATTGACCAAGGGTGAGTGGTTAATCCGTACGACGACATTTCAATTACTCACGTCGCATGTAGAGGTCATAACAGATCTCGAGCAGAGCAAGTATCAGGTATTTTGGCCTCTTCCAGTAGTCTATCTGTTCAGTTGAAACAGTGGCATGGTAGAACTGCGAATGGCGTATGAGCATATACGGCCGCTCACCTGATGAGTGGGACAGGCTGGCCCGCTGGATCGTGAACAACAAGCTTTTTTCGCACAATGTGCGCTGGCTGGTGCAGGTGCCTCGTTTATATGACGTCTACAAGCAGAGCAGCTCTATCAAGACCTTCGAGGATATCATCAGGAGTGCGTACTGTTTCACTAGATAATTTCATCCACTTGACGGGAAATAAGACGTCTTCCTTCCTCTGTTTGAGGTGACTAAGGACCCCAGGACCCACCCAGAGCTGCATGTTTTCCTGCAACGCGTCATTGGCTTTGACAGTGTCGACGACGAGTCTAAGGCTGAGAGGCGCTTCCACAAGAAATTCCCCTATCCGAAGCTGTGGGACGCAAAGGAGTCGCCACCGTACTCCTACTGGGTCTATTACATGTTTGCCAACATTACGAGTCTCAACCAGTGGCGTCGCACCAGGGGGTTCAGTACGTAGTCCATCTTCTGCGTATGCGTTAAATATTTAATGCTCCTCTAGACACCTTTGTCTTCCGGCCGCACTGTGGTGAGGCGGGAGACACAGATCACCTGACGTCTGCGTTCCTGACTGCGCACTCCATCTCGCACGGCATCCTCTTGCGCAAAGTGCCTGCGCTTCAGTACCTCTTCTACCTGAAGCAGATTGGCCTTGCAATGAGCCCGCTCAGCAACAATGCGCTGTTTCTTACTTACGAGAGGAATCCACTGCCGGACTTTTTCAAGGTCGGGCTCAACGTCAGCCTTAGTACGGATGATCCGCTGCAGTTCCACTTCACCAAAGAGCCTTTGCTTGAGGAATACAGCGTTGCTGCCCATGTGAGTCCAGCTCGCCGTGTTTGGATACATGCAATATATCAAGGTTCTGCTCTAGATCTACAAATTCCCTCAAAGTTCGCTTGCTGAGCTTGCACGGAACTCTGTCATCCAGAGCGGCTTCGAGATGGAGATCAAGCGGCACTGGCTGGGCCAGAAGTGGTACCTACCCGGTGCCGCTGGCAACGACATTCACAAAGTGAGTCCGGTCTTCCGTGTTACCTGTGCACCGCTGACTGGCTCGGCCATTCACAGACGAACGTGCCGAATATTCGGCTCGAGTACCGACGCCAGACACTGCTGGAGGAACTGACGATGGTCAACTCGGGCACTCTTCCCGTGCCCTCTAAGTGATCTTGAAGAGAGAAGAAACTTCATTAGTCTTGAATAGCCAGCCCATCTGTTTAGCATTTGACTGTGTGTATACTGCACTTGTACCTCTAGATTGTAATGTCATAGGAATTCATCGTGTCCGCCAACTGTCCGCCAGGATTCGCCAGCGTCCACCGCTTTGCTACTCATCCTGCTTACGGCCTGCATGCAATCAGTGATATGGGCGCTCCGACCTCCGCCTTAGCATGCCAGGACGCCGCGGGTCCGCAACAACGCTCGTCGCTCGCAATGACACAACTGACCGTGTCCATAACGGGCTCGCTTTATTAGACTGGGAGTGGCTTTGCACTGTGGAGTCTATTGTCTGGATATTTATGCTGCGATTACTCGTCCAATACACCCGTCGCTGAAATCTCCTGTATCTCCTAACGGTGCTAATTCCTCGATCGCCGTCCTTCACCCGCCTCCACGCAGTTCAGCCTTCGAATCACAGCCACCATGTCTCCCAACCCCGAAGATTTTAGCCAGACGACGCTGACGTCCGAGAAGACATCTTTCGACGAGCCCAGGCAGCCCGTTACGGTCCCCTGTCTTTTCAACGATGCCGCCTTGTACAGGAAGGTGTTGGCGGAAACTCCAGACGGAGAGGAGCACATTTCTCCGCCACCGGTGCAGAACCCTGCGCTCCGGAGTGTGCAGGATTTCGCCCAACTTGTGGGAGACGACCTCCAGCCACTGGAACAAGACGTGGTCGGCCGCTTCGCACAGCTGGCGGCGGAGAACTGGGACATCCAGGAGGGCGACCGCGAGGAAGGTGCCGTCCTCACGGAGGAGCCTGCCACGTTGACGGATGACGAGCGAAAGAAGCTCACAGGAAGTCTTGAAGAACTTGGGCTAGACCAGCCGTCCTCCAAAAAGCCAGCTATACCAGCGGAGGGGACCCAGCTTAGTCCCGAATACGTTCTTGCGCTCCTGATCGAGGAATTCGGAAGTTTGGCCCCCGAAGGAGAGGAGAAGCTCATCCTTGAGGCAGACGGAGCAGTTATACAGGACGTGGTGATACTTGTATGTCGTCAGCTTGCTCGTGAACGCACTCGTTGAGAACTGGTTGCAGGGCGTGATCCATGTCACGACTCACAGGATCGCCTTTCATGCCTCTCTCCCCGCGTTTGACCCGACTCAACCTTCTGAGGGGGTGATCAGAGTGGGCCCAGCCCTCGTGCATCGCAAGGGATGGCATCGCAGGCGGCGGATATGGCTCGAGCTGTCTAATGATTTCATCTGCGGTTTTCCATCCGCTCGTGAAGAAGACCGCATACGTCCTCTGAGAAGCCTTATGCGTGAGTACTCGTCCAACGCCAATCTTAGTATCTTGAATTGACACTTATACTTCTTCTGGTCAGTGTCATCCATAGTGGAAGTGCTCCCGGAGGATCCCAAGGAGCCCAGAGCACTCCGGACGCGCTTGGACGGTAAATCAGAAATCTCAGCGTCGTACCTGGAGTTTGATACGTTGGAGTCTGCCCGCGAATGGCGGAGAGAACTACAAGGTACGGGCTAGCTGTAAGTCACTCCCACAGCATGCTGAGCATGGTTCATAGCCGCCATATTTTTTGTTAAGCGGAGGAAACGCTCTATGTTCAGCCATTCAGACTCGGAAGATATCGAGGGCGTTCGCGTGAACATCCCATTGCATCACATCAGAACGCAGAGACATCGTATACATGCCGCACTCCCAGTCCTCTCACTTACCATTGATTCTCCACCGGCGGCTTCGAATGACGAGGACTCGCATCAAGTTATTGACTTGGCGAGTTTCAGGTTAACCGAAGAATGCGTGAAACGGTTAGAGTCGCTGACACGTCAGGCGCGAGAGCGCGCGAAGGAGGACACTGCAATCTTCATTGAGCGCCCTGTGGTCATTGACTTAGGGGTTGTCGACAAGCGGAGCGAATCGAAGTCTAGCGTAGAGGACATGACGAAGGCTAAGACGAAAGAGCAAGAAGTCTGCGATGTCTTGGCTATCGACAATGGACCGGATGTCTGGGGTAAGCCTCCGAAGTTATCCTGAGCCGCTGTACTCAGCTTGCTATCATCCAGTCTCCCGAGCTTCCGTGGCTTATACAATAACCACTTCGGGCTACGTCGTCATCTCTCCTCAGTGGTTAGGTTTCTGGAGCAAGTCTCTGGCGTCGCGCGACGTACGCTACCGCCTTCCAACTGCGACGATTCGTACCGCGAATCCTATAGACTTTCCTATTCGTGGAGTGCCTGTCAACGGTGTACAATTCGAGATTGAAGGCCATTCGAATCTCGGTTTCCGTTTCCGCTCTCAGTCAGCCAGAGACGAAGCAATACGACGTGTGTCGGAGATTATATCCCGGCGCAGTCGGACGCCATCTCTCTTGAGTGCCACGCTGCCGATCTCTGCGAGCACCACAGGTACAAACGACACAAGCCTCTCCGACTCGCGACCACCACCGACCACCTCGCCTCGTATCGGGGAAACCACCCGCTCGCAGAGCTCGATTCTCTCCCCACTCTCGCGCCAATTCAAAGACGCGCGCAAGCGTATTGACCAACGCAAGATGCTCGAGTTTCCAAAGGCGATCAACGCACCGCCCGGTCAGCTCGTGCGCATGCCTTCGAAACATTTCGTTTGCTTGACCATTGGCTCGCGGGGTGACGTGCAGCCGTACATCGCCCTCGGGCTTGGCCTCAAGGCGGAAGGTCACCGCGTGACAATCATCACACACGACGAGTATAAGGCCTGGATCGAAGGTTTTGGATTGCAGCATCGCGCTGCGGGAGGTGACCCTGGAGCTCTCATGCAACTCAGCGTAGAAAACAAGGTGAGTTTCAGCAGAACGTGTACGGTCGCGCTTTCTCATTGTCATTGTCCTTGTAGATGTTCTCGCCGCAATTTTTCAAGACCAGTCTCAGTAATGTACGTGGCTACCCGTCATTAGCCAAAGAGGTTTAACTGACTTTCTGCTTGCAGTACCGAACATGGCTCGATCACTGTGCGTATTGTTGGTTGCATGCCCAATTATACCCCTCTCATTTGGTCAACAGTGCTTCTTGACTCGTGGGAGCACTGTTCAGACGCGGACGCGCTGCTCGAGAGTCCATACGCCATTGCAGGCGTGCACATTGCCGAGGCCCTTCGTAAGTCGTTTCATCGAGGAAAGGTCATGTCCACTCATACGTGGAGCAGATATACCCTACTTCCGTGTGTGCACGATGCCTTGGACGAAGTATGTTTGTAGCTATCTGCGGTTCCATCATTCACTGATTAAGACGACGCAGGACGACCGAGTTCCCGCACCCATTCATCAGTGGACCCGTGGAGACACCAACATTCAATAGCATGTCATTCGTGCTGTTCGATAATATCTTCTGGGCTGCGACTTCGTCGCAGGTCAACCGCTGGCGGAAGGAATCTTTGCACCTGGAACCGACTGTCATGAGCCACACAGCGCAGTCCAAGATTCCCATCCTGTACAACTTCTCGTTGGTGAGTGGCACTGTAGCGTTTGAGGGTTTGACGATAGATTGAGCGTCTCTACATCCAGGCTGTTGTCCCGAAACCACTGGACTGGAGCGACGGCAAGATCATCTGCGGCTAGTCAGTCTCGCTCTATTCTAGCTTCCTTTGCTCCCAACTAACCTATCTACAGTTGGTTCCTGGATAACCCCGACCTTGAGTGGACGCCTCCTGAGTCCCTGCTTGCGTTCATGAAGCAAGCGAGGGCTGACGGCAAGCCGCTCGTGTATATTGGCTTCGGGAGCATCACTGTCCCGGACCCGCACACGATGACCGAACATATTTACCAAGCGGTCCAGAAAAGTACGTGTTTTCATTTGGGAAGAGAATTGGTTTATTAATAATAATAATAATAAATGATTCAAAGGTGATGTCCGTGCCATCCTTTCGAAAGGGTGGTCTGGCCGGATGCACAAGCAGACTGTGCCAGAGCTTGCTGTTCCGAAGGAGTGTTATGTGGTGAGTGCTGTGGGCGAAGTACCTTAGGGCCCAACTTACGAGGAAATGAGTGGTAGGTGGATAAGATACCACACGAGTAAGTGTAATCTTGGGGCTACTTTTTTACACGTACTGAACATAGCTTGCAGCTGGCTGTTCCCGCAGATAGATGCGGCGATACATCACGGCGGTGCTGGGACGACTGGGGCGAGTCTCAGAGGTGGGTGGCCAACAGCTTGCCCTGTGCTACTCTTTCTCAGTAGAAAACAGCCGGTATTCCCACCTTCATCAAGCCGTGGTTCGGTGATCAATTCTTCTGGGCATCCAGAGTACAAAGACTCGGAGTAAGTTGTTGCGGGTAGTCTCCTGCTACAGCTCTTGATGTTCTTCTGCTAGGCTGGTCATCGGGTTCCAAGTCTTCGCGTAAACGACCTTGTTACTGCCTTGAAGAAAGCAACAACCGACAGGTAAGTTGTTGTTTGTTCAGCGCTGGAGACACTCTAACTTCAGCACAGGATCATGAAGGAGAAAGCTAATATTGTAGGACAAAAGATTCGTAGCGTAAGTCTTCTCATTCGACATCTGTGCAAGCACCATTCTTAGAGGTTCAACAGGAAGACGGCGTGGCGACAGCAATCCACTATATCTATACCTATTTTCCGCGGGCATACAGCGACGGTCTTAGTCCCCAGTAGAGTCTATCTATTAACGGACAACACCTGTAGCAATGTACAATAATCTGTAGAGAATGTTAGCCACATATACTACCCCACATTCCGGCACAGGCCTCGCATCGGCAGGAGTCCCACGTGCGGCTTCGTCTTTGACCACTCGACGAGGTTACTATCGCCTTCCGTGCCTCGAACCGCGAGCGGCTGAGGCATGCAGCAGCGGCACGCGGGTTCCATGAGGGCGGAAAAGACCGCTCTCCATGGATCGACCGTCGTCCCGTGCTGTGGACCCTGGCTCTCGCCAAGGTGAAAATCGCAAAGTGCGGCCGAGGTGAGAACCAGGTGGCAGGCAGCATGTAAGGCAATCAAAGCGTCTTCGCATCAATAAGACCGGCTGTTGACATCTATACGGTCGCGCTTTCGTTTCAGAGAGAAGACCGGGTCCTGTTTGTATTTGGAGTGTGTTGTAGAAGGAATCAACCAGCTCACCTGCGACCTGCCGGGGCGTCCTGGTCATTTGCTCCATCTGCAGACATCGTTAGTCACTGCGGTGTAAATCGTATCTAGCCGTGGAATCTTCGTCGCGTTCGTGATCGTTTAATTGATTTTCTTCGTCGGAGAGGGGGTTGCTGGTGGAGTTGGTTGAGTCTGTGTAGGACTTGTCATGGCCATGGTGCATGTCGTATACGTTCGAGACCGAGTAAGGTCTCTGGGACTTGCGTTCTCGTATGCTGCCACCGTTGGTGGAGTCGTCGCCGTTACTGCCGTTCCCGCTTCCACTGGAGTTTGTCGCGGGAGGTGAGGGTAGACCAGACTTGGAGGGAGTCGATGGACCGGGAGAGCCCTCCGGACTAGGAGGTTCTGGTAATCTGGGTAGGTCGGGTGGGGTCGATGCAGAACCAAGCGACCCTATGAAAATAGCGGACAAGGGACGCTGACCGCGAGTAGCTGAGGGACGAGGGGGCATCGAGCGGGCGTGTAGATCATCAAGGAGTGTGACGGCGGGTCTTTGAGAGACAACGAGGGCGACGGCACCGCCGTCAACAGTGAAAAGGATATGGTTGGAAACGAGAGAGCAATGAACAGAAACGGCAAGCAGCAACGAGGACGAGCGCAGACAAGCGTGGGGCCAGTCAAGACACAGCGAAGAACCTTGTGGTAGCTCAAAGCGCCCAGGCTCTTTGAATCCAACCATCATCGTTACATGTTACACCGCTGCGTCGTCCTCAGCCGCAGCTGCTATTTCGGCCTTCAAAGCGGTCCACCAATACAATACCCAGTGATCATGTCGATGCGCTGCAGAGGGTGAAGAGCTTGACGGAGCGTAATCGCCAGGTGAGTCCTCCGTTTAGCCCGTGGTCCGCTTCTGCTCATGAGGGATTTTCCAATATCATGCTACAATAGATTCTAGACAAGTTATCATCCATATCGCATCGTAATTTACCTTTACCCCCTAAAACCGCACGGTCTTCTGCCTCGCCCTCGCATACTCCCTCCCCAACGCCTTCATCCGCGTCTGCCTCGCGGCCGCCTTCGTCTGCCCGTAATGTCTCGTCTGCTTTGCGTCCTGAAATGTCTTCGTTGTACCGTTCCCGCCTTCTCACCAACAACTCAGGGAACTCAGGGTCGGAAACTGAGCGCGAAAGCCCACGCCCCGCTTCTCGTTCGCGCCCAATTTCACACACGTACTCTTCCTCAAGCAGCATGTCCGATACGCCGACTTCTCAGTATTCTGACATAATCCTACCGTTCGTTGGCGACAAAGACTCTGCCAGAGCACGGCGTATATCTGCACCAGTATCACCTGCAAAGACACAGTCGTCGCGGCTCGGTAGGTCGGGTGACCGAACGCGCTCTCCGTCACCGTCTCCTGATCCTTTCAGCTCACGCACTCCTCGCAAGCGCGCCTCCGTCGCTATCACCGCCTCAGATAAAAACGAGCTTCGACAAGCAGACGCGGGCGGAAACGACGTGATAAGCGCAGCCTTAGCGGCAGCTGGCAGCGTCAGTAAGAGAGGTGTGGGTAGGAACCCTCTGCCGAAAGAGTTCGCCGACCAAAGTGGGCGGGGCCAAGTGGTGTGTACTCCTTCCTTAAATCCTCGCCTCACTAATAGAAAGCGACAGAGTGGGTATTCGGGACAGAGCGCACCATGTACGCCCCCTCGTCATCGTAGTCTCTCTCGACATCGTCGTTCCCCTTCACCTTCTCCCCGCGCGTCGACTTCGCAGCTTCCTACGCCGCTGATTGGCACGAACGGTAACTTTTCGCCTAGCAGACGCCATGGGACGGCTCAACGAACATCGACTGCTCGAGACTTCACGCGTCGGCATCAGACCAGATGGATGTCTGAAGACCTATCTGCGTCTGCCCATTTTATGGATGATGCGCCGTCGACACCCAGTCGATCCTCCACTAGTCTGGCTCATCATGGGAATAGTCCTGGTAGAAGACCAACAAACAGACGTGGGTCAGATGGACCCCCAACCCCAGGGAGATCTCTTGTAGGTGAAGGGTTGCGAACAGCGGGTATCACTTGGAAGCGCGACCCTCGGCCTGGGGAGGATCCGTTCGCGCATTCCCCCGCCATTCAACCCGTCTCGCCACGACGAACACGCTCTACTGGGGGGAACTCAGTAGTCAACGACGTTGAGTGGGAATCTCCCCTTCAAGCTGTGCCGAACACCCGGGTTAGTGATCGAAGCGGACGAAAATCTGCCGCAGAGCAGGATGATCAACGTCCAGTGACTTCTATGGCGGCACTGTACCACGACAGTCCAGCGAATGCTACAAGGGCTCCAAGCTCGACCACGAGGTTATACCAGTCAACGCGTGCTCTCCAGCGTGAGCGCTCTACTTCCTCAGCGTATGACGATCCCGGGGGCGATTCGACGACCGTGACTCGCGGTATAGACGGTAGATATCCGTCTCCCTCTTCCGTTGCGAGCTCTAGACCATCCACCGCAGCCTCTGGAGTGACACGGGACGTTCATGCTGAGCACCGTCGCCTGATGCTAGAGGCTCTTACCATGTTCGAATCGCATCTCCCGCCAATGGGCCAAACAACTACCTCGACAATACCTGAAGTCTTCCAAAGTTCTCAGCAAGTTGTGCACTCTCTTGACCTCCTCAATAATTCTCTTCGAGCTGCCACCAACGAAGCTCTGAAGTTTCGGATAGCCGCCGAGGTAGCCGACAGCGATAGCGCACTCTCTGAGATCGCTGAGATATGGCATCGAGTCGGAGACGACCACCGTGAGCACCTCAAGATTAGCGATGAGCTCGTACGAACGACGACGCAGTTCCTTCTTGGTATTGGGAGGATCATCCGCGATGTTGCAGGCGCATCTCAGAGTCAACACCATCTTCGGGGTGCTAGCATGGACGAAGACGTTGGCCGCCGGCTGACTCCTGACGTGACGTCTGCTTCGACCGACCAGAGAAGCTCTGACGGAAGGATTAGCAGGGAAACCAGACGAAGCTGGGATCCACGGGAGGTGACACAGTCTACTTTGCAGCGGCTGGCGAATATGGATCGGACTAGCAACAGCGGAAGCAGCCGACTCCCATCATCTCTCAACCAACCTACGCGTGGCTCTGTTACGTCCAGCAGCGATCGCAGAAGTCCGAGCGAGAGTGCAATGGCGCAGACACCGCCTATTTCTCGTCCCTTACCGTCGGTACACTCGTCGACAGGGCCCAGGCGGCTGTACGTCCCTCGCGATCGCTCGGCATCGGACGCTAATGCTGCACCGTTGATGTCAAGTCTTGACTCACAGGAGACGGTTCATGGGTACGAACCCTCACCTACTCCGGTAGGCAGACTCTCCTCGCAGCCAGAGCGCACACGGGCCCTTCCCCCTCTTGCCATCCCTCCATCCCTGTCGACTCTGCCCTCAGAGTCCCTTCTGAGTCGCTCAGTATCATTCACAAATCGCCGTAAGGCGTCGAGTAACTCTCAAGTGACAGTGCGCGCTGAACCATCTCTACCATCAGTCATCAAACAAGCTACTGCGACGACTGCTGTTACACCTACCACGGTCTCAAACATCGACGCAACGGACGCTGTGTCGTCAATCAGCAGATCAAACTCTATAAGCTCTATCGACTCGCAAGGCGACGTCGCGTCAAGGCCGACTGCTACTTCTGCTTTGGGTGGCATCAAGCGCAGTTTGAGGGACGATCTGTCTTCGCTAAGGTCTCCTATGTCTGGATCCGAAACCGAGAGACCCCGAACCTTCAGCCCGCGCAGTCGGGCATCCCTCGAGGGTTCGCGACCGGATTCTATAGGACGAAGCAGCCAGGCATCGACCCTCACGTTAACGCGTAAGGAGCGACGGAGAACGATTACGGACATATTCTCGCAGGTCAAGCAATAGCATACGATATGTGCTCCTGCCCCCATGCAGCACTGAGTATGTTAAATTGACACCTTTCACCATTTGCAGGCTGATGGCAGATCAGTCATTCTCGTATGTCATGCTTTAAAGTGTTGACCGCGCCATGATCGCCTCCCTGTCGCCTCCGGGACACTCGCACGTTCCCCTTTTCATCTTGTGGTTATCCTGTGTCGCATCTTGTTCCGCTGTCCTTCGGCCCTCTCGGGTGCTCGCGCCACTTTTCCATGTCTGTAAAATCCTTGTTCCCTTTCTTCCTCGCCTTGCATCTCCTCTTTTCTGTTTGTGTCATTATCTGGTTCGCTCCGCACGTAACGTTATATGGCTCGTAAAGCACGCCCGGCATGAATGTTCGACCGATTCCCTCGCATTACCAGCCCGAACTTTGCAGTAGATTTTGCTAATGACATGTAGCAATGCATAAAAGGTACCTTAAAGCTCTTGTAGAGAATCTTGTACATACAGCGACCTCGACTGAAGCCTTCGCGCCGCTTGGCGGTGTCTACCACTATTGTCCTTTTTGGCATTCGGTTGAAGATGTCTGTGCACTCCTTTTGAGCTGATGAGCCTACGGTGGGTACGTTCAGGGTGCAGTAGACTCACGGAATCTAGTCTTGCAGCAACTAGCCCTATTAGTCAAACTCGATACGTAGTATTCCCCTCTCTCCCAGTCCCGGAAGCATGCGCCGCATAACATCCCCTGCACTATGTCTTGCTTGTTCTGAATCTTCTTCATTCTCGCATACAACAACGACCTCTTTGAATGCAGGGCGCCGTCGATGCACTTCGAGTAGCATATCGTCAAGCCCTGACAACGCGACGGCGGATGAGGGCAAGGGGCCGGCGGATTTAGAATGGTGTTCATTCATGACGCATTCGATGTGAAGGACTAGCGTGTGTACATTGAGGGAGTACACATGGATGCTTTCGAGGCACCTTGCAAGGGCACCGTTCACGGTGTCGTTCCCACTTCCTATCACCCAGATCCCCTGCACATGGAGCACGAGCGTCTTCAACGCTCTGCAACAAGTGAGACTGGGGAGACAGGAACCTTTGTCTGATCATTTATGGTATGAGAAAGATGCAAAGAAATCTATGGAGGGGGGCGCACCGTCCTCTTCCTCGCCGGGAAATGGTGAGTAGTAGTTACATTCCAGCTCTTCAAGCGTCGGACTGACGGCGTTGATGAAACCCTGCACGGAGGGCGTCGAGCCATGTGGACGCGGGTTAGGGTTCCTTGGTTCGGTCGAATGGGCGTCTCGCTCGGGCTAAACGCCTCTTCTCGCAAAGTACACAGCTGCAAGTTTTGAAGTCTTATATTCCTGTACAGTGAGCCTCCTTGAGCAGCGAGTGCTCCAATTGATTCCTCATAGAATTACGTGTAGTCATGACGGTCCCGGTTTTGCCCTTAGAACTCGTGGACATCATACTCAAAGCTCTACATGTCGATCGCCCCGTAGATCGACACTCGCCCCTCCCACGCAAACGGAATCTGAAGGCTTGCAGGCTCGTATGTCGAACGTGGGCAACCCTCGTAGCAGCCCATCTCTTCCGGGATGTCCACTTCTCCTTCTGCTATTCCGTCGAGAACATCGTAGAGATGGCAGATCTTAGTCCATATCTTACCATCCCAGGACGATGGGTGCACGACCACCGTTATCGGCAGTGGCCCTTGAAGACCTTGGAAGACTTTCGCGACATTCTGACTGGACAAGCAGATCTCCGACAGAACATTCGCTGGTTGTGCCTCCGCGGCTACATCTCTAATGATTGAGACGTCAACACATGCATGATACCTGCCGAGCTTTTGGTGGAGATTATCAGTATGCTTCCGCAGCTGCAGGTCCTACAGCTGATCAACGTCGCAGTCAAGGACGGGTCAATAGCGAGTAGACCCGAGCCGTTTGCCAGGGTCGACCGTCATTTGTCATATCTCTGGCTCGACTACACTAGATGGATTTACACGGAAGAGCAGATGCTACAGACCCTGTGTTGTTTCAGCGCACTGGATCACCTCAAGTTTTCATCGGTCAGCGCTAGTGGCCGCAATGTACGGCTCTACAAGAATTCTGGGACGCTGGCCGTTCGCGTTTTAGAAGTCAGCACTTGCGTAGGACTGCTCTTAATGGACCTGAGCCACCTGCTTCGCCTCGATGTGATCCGTAAACTCTGCATCTACGAGGAGTATGAAGCTGGGCCACAGCGGTGGTTTTCTTCCTCATTTTATACTGTAATGATGTAGTTATATTATGTTGTGAGCTATGAATGATGCATAACTGATCTAGAAACTACTAGGGGCCCCTGTATATAAATATATCTCGATTTGTTTTCGTTTTTCTTTCTTTCGCGAAGTGCGCCGAAAACCTTAGGATAGTTTATAGAATTGTATATTCGCTAAGAGAAATACACTCCAACGATATCATAGACGCATTTATGCCATTTCAATGTGCTTTCATGCGTCCCGGTGCGCAGATTCAGCTGGTTTACAGTGAGATGGCGCACTTGCCCGATCCGGCGAGATGCGCTCGGGCGCCGCCGTCCGGCGCACACGGCTCCGTTGAACGATTCTCCCGCGAGCGAGGGTGCCGGGCATTGCGTGCGCTGGCTGCGGCAGCGGGACTCCTTGCGATGACCAAGTCGTCCGTTCGGATGACGTGATGACGACTCGCAAATACGGTGGAAGAATGTTCCACATGGTCGCATTCTCCGGCCACGCCGCACATATAAGGACAGCATATCATCCCGGTCAAGCTCATGATCGTTACCGCTGCTCGCAGGCATATACCGACCCGGCTTCCAAGAGGAGTATCTCACATACAAAAGGCAGCTTACTCAAAGTTGTCGACGATGTCCAGCGTGCTCTTCATCAACAAACCCGTGCCTGGTGCCGACCAGTACTATCCCTTGAATGACCCTCCGATTGGTACTGCCCTTCCGGTGGTAAGTGCTAAGCCTATGTTGTAGATGTCATACCTGATCATAGACGTGTAGGAAGCATATCCTCAGAATGCGAAAATACCTATCCTCTTCCAGCCCTTGACTCTTAGAGGTGTCACCTTCAAGAACAGAATCTTCGTCGTACATGCTAATTCCCTGTCTCAACCCGTCCAGTGCTGACCTCATTTTCGATAGTCCCCTATGTGTCAGTACAGCTCAGACAACGGCCATGCCACTGATTGGCATCTCGTCCATCTCGGAGGGTTCGCCACGCGTGGTGTAGGTGCTATCTGCGTAGAGGCGAGCGCCGTCCTCCCTGAAGCTCGAATCTCTCCAGAAGATTCGGTAAGTGCTACTTCCGCTCACTAGGTGAATTACGTAAATTCAGCAGCCTTCCAGGGAATTTGGGATGACTCGCACATCCCGGGCTTAAAACGCATCGTCGATTTTTGCCATGCCCAGGGCACGCGCATCGGTATCCAACTCTCACACGCCGGCCGAAAGGCTTCTACTTATCCGCCGTTCGTGCATCTGAACGCGGCGAAGACGAGGCGCGCCACGAAGTGGTTCGCGGACAAGGAGGAGAACGGCTGGCCGAACGACGGTTAGTCATGGAGATGAACATCTGCTGACGTTCGTGTGACTGATGACATGCCCTAGTGTTCGCACCGTCGGAAGTTCCCTTTGCTGACGACCATCCGAAACCTAAAGCCATGTTGACTGAGGATCTCATTCGTGTTGAAGAAGCGTTCCTTGCAGCAGTGGAGCGCGCCAAGAAGGCTGGCTGTGCGTATAGATATCTTCCTCGCAGGATCCATGCGCTCAAATCAGCAACCTAGTCGACTTTATTGAACTACACGGAGCGCACGGCTATCTCCTCCACGAGTTTGTCTCGCCTCTTTCAAACATCCGCACGGATACGTACGGCGGATCACTCGAGAACCGTTTGCGCTACCCGCTGCAACTCATCGAGCGCGTCCGAAAGGCCTGGGACAAGCCGCTTTTCGTGCGTATCAGCGCTACCGAATGGGGTGAAGGGTCGGAGAAGGGCCAGAACGGAGAATGGAGGTACTGGGGTCTCGAACAGAGCAAAATTTATGTG